GGCAAGCCTTACTCCGCTTCCAGTCTGTGCGCGGGAAACAGCCAAAGGACAAAAATATTCGCCAGAGAAGCAGGGCTATCTCCCAGTCTGACGGCAAACCCCTGTCCTTCCAGGCCTGTCTGTCCTTCCAAACAGTTGGAATTAGTCAGAAATGATTGAAAGCAGAGACACGTGGGATATGCCTAGCATGTCATTTACTCAGACCTACCAAAAAATAGCTTTCCGTAGTGCAACTGCGCATATGGCTTTGGGAGGCTTGTTGTCAAAAGCATGTTTAAATGTGAGGTATTGAAGCATGAGGAAAGTTTCAGCATAAAATGAAGCGTACTAAGAATGTAAGTGTATTATTGTCTATTTAGGATCTGATTCTGTTTTCCATAAGCTCCCTGGGAATTGGAGGGGACTGTTTGTAGAGCAAAACACTGCTCAATACTACTTTTTGCTGAGATTGGCAAGATCAGACTCTTTCTGCTTATTTGTAAGCAAAGCAATTAAAAGCAAATCCAGAGTCGACTGCCAGTGTTCCTCTCGAGAGTGGAGAAAAAGGAGCAATATGATTTCGCTCTCAAGGATGAACATTACTGCATCTGTGTCATTGACCCATGGTGTATTGGCAGGTGATAACTAGAAAAGAGAACTGGGCAAATTTCCAACGAGTAGCTGTAGCTGGTAGTAAAAATGCAATCTGACTGCTGTGGCTGAAATAAATGGTCATTAGGACTGATTAAAGTCAGATTTAGGGTGATTCAAACAAGCTAAAAAGGGGAAACCACAGGCGGTTTCACATAGTTTATTATATACTTGTGGAGTTATTTATATGATTCAGTCTGGTACAGAGAAAATGAATATGTTTATAGATTGTAGTTGGCTTTGGGACAACCAGGTAATTTCTGATGGAAAAAATTTACAGCAAGATTTTAAAGCATTGGCTTTCTTTTACAGCTCTTGTCCTGGTCAGTGATGCTGCAGGTTGCTTTTAAAGATGCCTCTCTTACCTGTCATGAGAAGGTGCCGGTTCGGAAAATTGCTGTGGGGGCTGGCTTGTGCTGTGAGAAACTTCTAAGAAGATTTTGGCCTGATTAGAACACCGTGTTTTGATTGACCAGAGCAAACTTGTAAAAATATTTCAACACTGTTAAAAATATCACAAAAAAAAATTCTGAGGGTTGCCCAGGTTCAGCATGGCAAGCTGTTTTGAAGTTTCAAAATGTTTAGGGGACAGGAAAAATGTTTCTTAGTAGGATTTGTTTGTATAACTGTGAGCAGCGAATCAGCTCCTGTATGTTAAGCTGGACTAAATCTGTCATAAGTGACAAGAAGATCAAGCTTACTGTATTACATTTATTTGCTTCAATCCTCACAAAATCAGTAGGTGGAGAAAAGCATTCTTTTTCTGTGGTGATAGCGATAGGAGCGTCTTGCATTTCTTTGACCTATTCCTTGCCATTACCTTGATAGACTTTGTGTACTCTGTGTCAAGCTATGAGTATGTATGCAGAAGTGTAAATTTATGGCTGCATTTATAGTATTAGGCAAGTATTTATTGGTTTTAAACACCATTAGTCTGGAAATCGACCAGAACTTTGACCTTTTTATGATGTGATTTACTGCTGTGAGCCTTCAAATTCCACGGACTCCATTTAAGCAAGTTTCAGGTCTTGGCAGGACAAAAACCTGAGCTGGAGCTGTCTTTAAACCAGTGGAGTTTTGCTAAATTGAGCAAGTGACTGCACTGTAGTGACTAAGATGATCATTTAAAGGTGCAGGGAAAGCCAAGCTCTCCTGCGAGCTGGGGCTAATGTCATTGCCAGGGCACCTCTCAATGGAGGGGCGTCCTTCCAGTTCATGTCAGCGGAGTGTGTTTCTTCACAACGCGTATAAATAAGGGCTAAGGGGTCAGCTCCCTAATTTGTCACTGTGTAAACAAGAGATTCCAGGGATATTTGCCTTTGCTGTGCGAACGGGGAAGGCAGCTACCTTGCTCTGCTTGAGATAAAGTGAGTTTTGGAGAAAAATGTGGCTTCCTCAGACTAGCACTCAGCTGGTGTTACAGTGAGTTTCTGGTGAGTTCTGACTGTAATGGTTTGAGAGAAGATCCTGTGCTGGCTTCCCAGGGTGGTGGGAGCGTATGGCTGATTTGGGAGCATGAGCCAGGTTATGGGGCCATTGCGTGTCCCGCTTTCTGCTCTGTGTGGCTGCCTTCCTTCCCATCAGGATGCTTCTGGGGAAAGGTGCTTCTGGGCAGCTGTCCCCGCTGCCTGCCATGCAGGTGTAGAGAGGGGCTGCCTTCCTGTGTTTCCCCCTCGCTGCATCCCGCTCCTCTCCCCGTGGGCAGCGTAGGCAGGAGGCTCAGATCCCCAAACTGCAGGCGTTCAGCAGTCTGTGCCAGTTCGGGGGACCTGCCAGAAGCTGCCTTTGTGGCATCCGTGTGACTCTGCTCTCACTTAGACTCCAGTGGCTTCATTTTCACCCGTCTGGTGCTTGATGACTTCCCAGCCAAGGAAAATTATCTTTGCCTGTGGGTCGTACTGCTGTGTACCTGTTACGCTACCCTGTTCCCATGAGTTGTTGCTGATGGTGGTGGCTTCCCTTATGTAGGTACTGGCAGGGAGCAGCAGGGAAAGTAGGAACAGCCCCAGGGCTCTGCTGCATGGTGAGACCTCCCTAAGTGCCAGCTTGGAGGTTTCCATCCTCTCTGCCACCTTCAAGCCAGGACCTCCCCATCACCATTGCAGTTGTTGCTGGCCCAACTCTGCTGATTAATGTGTCCAAGCTGCCCAAATGATTTACCATGCTCAGTCACCTTGAAAAAGCCAATGGAAAGGAAGAACTTTGTCTCCTACCCCTGACTGAGCTTCAGGTCACGTAAATCACTGCTGCTCTTTTGAAATCTGTTGACGTCAGCTGAGCGCCAAACCCTTGACAGCTGTACCGTGAACAGTATTGAGAAGAAAGTAAGTGTTATGGGCGTATTAAGAGTCATATCTGCACGCAGGAGAGTTTAAAAATTGAACGATAAGTCAAAATAAGGGTCTTCCAGATGAGCTCCTGCCTTGCATGGAGAAAAATGTGATGTGGGGCTGTTCTGCTTATAGCCCTAATGGCGTGCCGACGGATGCTGCAGCTCGCTCCCAGCCCCAGCATGGAAGGGTCGGAGCGTGCTCCCTGCTGACACGGAGAACCAGGCAGATGCTTCATCATCTTCTGCTGCAGCAAGTGCTGTCATTCTGCGAATGTCCTCTGTGGCGTGGGCTTTGGCACAGTGCAGTGTTAGGCAGCACTTCTGTAGCCGTGCAAAAAAAAGTTGTGAATAGTCACATTTTATATCCGGTCAACGTGGCACGCACACTGATACAGATAGATGTGTAGGGTGCTGACAATGGTGAATTGATTTTTTTTTTTTTTTTTTTTTTTTATTTGCACATACCATTTTACTGACCTTGGCTGTGAGGTACAAATCGGTACTTGGCAGTTACCCTACAGAGATAAGACAATACTATTCTGTTACATTCAATTGTTACACTGTACAGTACAGTTTATACAGAAATTTAAAAAAAAAAGAGGGGCTTTACCTATCCAGCCAGTAGCAGTTTGATTTATGCTCTGACTTGTCTTCAGAAGAAAAGCATACATATTTTTGATGGAGACGTGATCTTTTGTAATGTAAAACTGCATTTTTATTTTGTTTTTTTTTCCTTCGTCTGTGTGAGTCTGCATTTTTTTTAATTAATTGAAACCTTTTTGCTTTTGATTTAAGTGGGACATGATCAACTCTGATTTTGCTTCTTGTTTGTGAATGTTTCATGCAATGCTTTTAATGAGCCAGGCTTAAAAAAAAAAAAATCAGACTGTGTGGTGTGAACAAGCACTTGTGGATGTGTACTTCTCTTCCCAGCTGAAATACTGGCAGTTTGGAGTAGTAGACACACTTGCCTTTGACTCGGTGGTGTTCGTACAATGTGCTGTCTGAAATACTGGGAGGCTGAATCTGCAATGTCAGGCAGAAAATGCCTGAACTGAAGTGACTTAAGAATAGGCTGTGAGTCAGGGCAGGCAGCTCTGGTTTCTATAATAGATACAATTAGAAGAAATATAGAAAGTATTTATTTTTTGAATAGGACATGGGGGGGAGAGACGGGGGAACCATCAATTTGTGCGTCTGGAGGCTAAATAGAAATGTTTATAAATGATTAGTTGGGTTTGCTGATGCACTCATTAGAGAAATCCCCGTCAGTGGCTGGGAAAGTGAGAGGAGCTGTGAACAGAGAACAAGAGGCAGCTCATAAAGGCAAGTGAGACTGAACGGCAGCCAAGGGAGAGGCGTAATCGGCAAGGCG